TTCCCAAACAGCTTAGGCAGATTAATACTTAGAATGTACCCAGCCCTGCTAAGTCCCAAACAACCATTTACTCTTGTTTTTAAATTATTTTCTCATTTTCACATTTTCCCACACTACCTTTCACATTGGTAAGTTTCCAGCAAATATAAAGCAAATCATTTTAGCTCTCATAAAAGAGACCTTAATTTGTAGCCCAGCTTTCTCAGATCTTCTGGTTACTGCTCTCCTTCAACTCAGCTAAGAGCTGAGTTACAAACAACCCTTTGGAAAAACCTAACATGAAATTGTGTAACCTGCAGTAGTAAGTCCATGAAAAATAGAGATTTTTAAGCCCTAAGATTTGAAACTCTTTGTTAATATTTAAAACATAATTTTCAGATGCTAACCGGACATACTGTAAAATCCTTGCCCTGAACTTTGATTAAAAGGTAGAGGAAATGAGGGGCACCTGGGTGGCTCAGTCGGCTAAGCATCCAACTTCAGCTCAGGTCACGATCTCACAGTTCATGGGTTTGAGCCCCGTGTCGGGCTCTGTGCTGACCACTCAGAGCCTAGAGCCTGCTTCAGATTCTGTGTCTCCCTCTCTCTCTCTGCCCCTCCCCTGCTCACATTCTGTCTCTCTCTTGCTCTCTGAAATAAACATTAAAAAACAACTTTTTTTAAGGTAGAGGAAATGATATCAAAGCTAAGCTAGTCCTTTTGCCCATAAAAAAAAAAAAAAGTCTGATGACTAGCTTGACCAATAATTTTCTATCAGAAAATGGTTTCTTCCTCTCTCAAGGCAGGCCCTGTGCTGAGATGACCCTCCACCTCTCATCACTATGCCCTGAAGCTGGGGAAGGGGAGCAAGGGGCCCGTATTTCCCATGTTTCTTCTAATTAGAAGTTCATTAGGGTGGAGAAGCTCCTGCTGGAAAATACAACACCTCCTCCCACACATCACACTGTTGACCCTTGAGCATTCAAACCAGAGACTTACCTACGATGTCGTAACATCTGAAGTCTATAAAAATAGGTATTTTCTTTAAAACGCAACTTGAGAGTTGGTTTTCAATGATTATATACAGCTGATCCTTGAACAATGCAAGGGTTAGGGGTGGTGACCCACATACAGTCAAAAGTCCACGTCTACCTCTGGACTCCCCCAAAACTTACTAATAGCCTACTGTTGACCAGAAGCCTTACCCATGATATGGTTAAGACATACTTTGTATGCTAAATGTATTGTATACTGTATTCTTGCAATAAAGCTACAAAAAAGTCAAGAAAATCTTAAAAGATTTGTAGTGCTGTACTGCATCAAAAAAAAAAAAAAAAAAAGAAAGAAAAACTCGCGTGTAAGTAGACCTATACAGTTCCAACCCAAGTTGTTCAAGAGTCAACTGTAATATAAATGCCTCATTCTGCAGATGAAAAAGTGGAATTAAATTACTTGCCCAAAGTCAGTTATGGTCCTATTAGTTGCAGACAAGACCTCATATCCTTTGGTGCCCACTCCTGAAAATGTTCCTACATCACAGACAGGAGAGTACAGACAGCTGGAGCAGGGAGCCTATAAAAGATCCCATCATGTTTTTCCTATGTCAAGGTGCTATCCATTAGTAAATGGTGAAGTTCCCACTGTGAAATGGCAGACACATTTGTGGGCATCTGGCATTCGTGTCACAGAAATTCCTAAATTGATCATTCTTAACTGTACTAAAATTTGAGCTTAATACAGTGTAATCCTACCCATTACTAACTCTCCTCACCCGTAGCTTTTCCTTTATGGGAAAGCATTATCACCCAGTCACACAGTACAGTAAGCAGATCCCGGTTTGGGGATGCACAAAAATGCTTCTACCTTCTGCTTCCATCTAACATTTCAAATAGAAGCTTACTACTTGCTAAGCAAACATGCCTAGAAATTTGTCCTTGGCTGAGATTTAGAACAATGCCAACAGGCAATCTGTGATATTTTTGAAAATATTGAACTCGGAATGTATTTGATCCAGTAACAGCACAAGTGAAGGGCTACGCTGTAAAATATGCAATATTGTCTAATACATCTGCCCATGTCCCCTTTCTGTGCGCCCTTAATTTTTGACACCTTATTCCCCAATTTCAGAGACCGTTGGGGGCTACCCACACTGTGGTACTACCCTTGATCTGCTTTGCCTGGTCTGGGTTCCATGCCCCAGACTTGTCTGACTTTTCTCACGAAGCCTCAAAGAACTCACCTGATCTCTCTATTTCTTCTGGATTCTGTTCCTTTCTAGGTCACAGCTAACTCGGTAATTACTTTATACTCACATGCATAAACTCATGATTTCACAAATGGTCAAATTTTAAGATTCCAATAGAAAGATCATTAAGCAGTTTGTGGTTAACATTTTCTGAACAGATGATGCCCTTTTGTGTACACATTTTGTATCATAGTGGTGGCATCCTGGTCAATCTATGTCCAGGTCAGTGCTTACCACCCTGCAGCTTAGCACGATGGAACCTTCTGGCCAGGATACCCACAGTGGTGAAGTAGGCCAACATTAGCTTAAGAAAGTTTTTATAGAAAAGAATTCCAATACCTTAACAAAAGGGGAGAGGATACTCTTGCAGGTGATGAAAAGTCACAAGCAGCTGTGTAGTCAGTAGTACAACGCAGTAGGCAAAAGTAAGGTTCGTGAGGCCAGTTAACAAATTCATTCAACAATGGTTTTCGTGTCAGGTACTCTTCCAGGTACCGACAGCTAACAAAACAGGTTCCGAACAGCTTTCCTTTTCCCCATCTAGATCCAGTCTGAGAGTTAAACCATCAGCTCTCCTGCTTCTCAGACCTTCAGATTTGGTCTGAATTATACCACTGACTTTCCTGGTTCTCCAGTTTGCAAATGGCATACAGTGGTAGAGCTCAGCCTCCGTAACCCCATGGTAGATCTCCTCAAACATACAGCCAAGCTTCTGTTTCCCTGGGGAACCCCAACACACACATCATTACAAGTTTGTCAAAACCCACAGAATGTACGACACCAAGAGCGAACCGTAACATCAACTATGGACTCGGGTGATGACGTGTTCACGTAGGTTCATGAATTGTAACAAATGTACCACTCTGATGAGGAATGTGGATAATGGAGGAGGCCGTGCATGTGTAGGGGGCAGAGAACACATGGGAGATCTCTGTACCTTTTGCTCAATGTTGCAGTGAACCTAAAACTGCTCTAAAAAACGAAATCTACTTTTAAAAGCAGCAACTAAGGTACTCTGAGATTCAAAAACTGAGTGGTGTTGCAAATATTTCCTATGTATGATCTAATAAAGCCCGGTGATCCCACACCACTCCACCCCCACCCTTCCTGGAGCCGCCAGTCACGGCCTGGGGCCAATACACCCACGGTCTTCCCTACTACATCCTCCTATACCCCATCCTCCCAAGCATGGTAACCTTGACACACTTACCCTCTATTATCTGGACAATCTCATTGGTCTTTCAGCATTCACATCTAAACTAATTCTACATCAGAGATCATTTCATTTAAGTATACCTCTTACTCCCTTTTCTTTTCCCCACTCCTTTTACTAGGTAAAACATCTGTTTATAAATATAGGTTCTTACTAAGGTGCTAGGATTCCGTATTTCCAATTTTAAAGGCCTGAAGAAGTTTGCACACTAGGCCTTCATTAAGAAAAAATACACCTAGGTGAAAGAAAAGTAAGGGGTTTCGAGCAAAGTTTAAAAAAAAAATCAAAACTTTCAACCTGTATAGTTTTTAAATTCTACTTCCATGAACACAAAGCAAGCCTGCTTTTCCTCCATCACCACTTAATTTACAACAGCATTTCTTTTTCCGTGTCATTATTTGCCTTTTTGTGTCCCAGTACGGCAACACTTATTTATTTATATGAGCTCTCACTGAGCAAGGTCTGTTTTAAATTCTGTAGTATTTCACCTTCATTGTAGGTTAAGCTGGCTCTTGCAGGCTAACCTAAACTTCATATAACTTAGAAACTTCTAGATCTCCCAAATTCAAACGGACTTAAGAACTTCACGGAATAATTCTACCTCCATATCCCTCGGTTTTAACTCAGAGAGAGGTTCAATAAAACATTCTACCTTGGTTTTCGTGACACCTGAAAACATATTAATTAAGGTAGAAGGTAATTTTAGTTAAGCCTACTCAGTGCATTGTTAGCTTTTTTTGCACGGGAGACTTTAGAACAGTGGCATGTTTCTATACTTTACTAGTACAGGGCGCCTGGTTTTGCAACGGAAGGCAATGTTTTAAAAATAATTTCTTAAGTTTGTATTTAGCCAGGAGAGACAGTGTCACATCCGAAGGTTTTTTGAGCAATCTTCTCTCCACGAAGACTTGAAATAGTTGTTGTAAATACAGCACTGTAACATTTCCAAAAAACTAAAGTCAATAAAAGGCGAATGCGATAAGCAGCATGAGGACTTTAAAGTCAACACTTAAAAAAAAAAAAAAAAAAAAAATCAAGGGTTTCTACGTAGGTAGAGGGCTTGATCCTAGACAAGGCAAGGAATGTGAGGGATGGGGAAGTCCAGAGAGCCCAAAAGGGGATTAAAGTTTCGGAAGTCAACAAAGTGAGAGTTCGATTCAGAACCCACGTGTAGATGTACTCTGTAAAGTGGTTATACTTTCAGGGGACGGGCAGAGGTTGATGGATTCAAACTCCACCAGTTTGGAGCGAAGGAGAGGACCTTCCCGCAGTTTGGAAAACACCGGCCCTTTGGGGCTCAATTCTTTTTTCGGCCTCCTAGAGCAGAAGCTGGCCGTGACTTTGCTCCAGGGAATGCACCCAGAGGCGGGGAGCCAGGCGGGCGGGGCGGGGAGCCTGAGGCCCCCGGGGCCGCGAGCAGACTAGACTGCTCTCCCCAGTTCGGAAGGAGCGGGCGGGGGCTTCGCGACGCGGGGGGGAGGAGCCTGGGGAGGGCGGAGAGGAGGCGCGGGCGAAGTTGCAGGGAGGAGGCGAGGCTGCAGGCTAAGGTGCCGGGACACTCACCCGCGGGGCGCTCGGGTTGGATGGGCCGCCACCTGAGGGCCTGCTCGCTCAGCACCACGTCACAGCTGCTCCTCTCGATCTCGAAGATGCCACGCAGCAGGATCTGCCCGGCCGCCGCCTCCGGCTGCAGCTGGGACGCCCACAGCGCCGAGGGCACCGCGGCCGCCGCCGGGGGCGCTTCCTCCTCCGGGCCGCCCTCCAGGGCGCTCACCCGGCCGCCGCGCCTCCCCCGAGGCATGGCGGAGACGCTAGCTGAGCGGCACCCTGGGGTCTGGGGAGGCCTTTGGAGGCGGAGGTGGAGGCCGCGGCAGCCTCGGCTCGATCTGCGTCCGGCGCTGCCACAGCAACCGCGCGCGGGGCAGAGACCCAGGAGGGAGGCGGGGCAGGCAGGCGGGGCCGCCCGGACCTAGTCCGGCACCTTGGGCCGCCGGCTTCGGGTCGCTGCCGCTCGCTACCAAAGGTCCCCCATGCTGGCAGACGAAGAAGTGGCTCCCTGCGCCTAGCCCTCCCTGTTCAGTAGGATTTAGTGCACTGAGTTTCCCACAGTTCTATACGCCCTCCCTTCTCAAACTTACTCACCCCCTGGGCATCTTGTTAAAATGCAGTTTCTTACTGCTGAGGTCTGAGAGGAGGCCCAAAAGGCTGTATTGCTTGCTAAGAAGCCCGGGATGACGGCGACGCCCATGCCACTGGTCCTCGGGACACACTTTGAGTGGCAAGGGCTTCTCGTTTCCCCACCTGCTTCCCAGTGGGCTGCCTCAGAAGGCAGAGGTCATGCTATATAACCGTGCTGGCACACCCCCGGTAGTTAGCTGATCTTATGCACCTGGTAGAGAGAGCTCATTTCCCAAAAGCCCCGAGAGGAAGCCAAAGTCTCTGGTTTACATTCACAGATTCTCACCTGACAAACAGAAGGTGCCTTATCATAATGAGCACTGAGTAATGTTTAGAATTGTTGAATCGTTATATTGTCCTCCTGAAACTAATATATTGGATGATAACTATACTGGAATAGGAAAAAAAAAAACACCTTAATGAATAAGAGGTGCCTTTGTGCTGTCAGTGTTGAGGGTCCTAATTTCCCCGGAAGATTTCTCCTTTGCAAACTCGTCTTTGCTTGGATCTGGCACTCTCTGGAGGGAGATTACAAGCAGCCGGGCTTGTTCTCTGGAAGGCTGTTGCTACAGTGTAGTGTTACCTGCAAATGGAGAGAGCCCTGGGGGGTGGGTTTATCCTTCCCTTTCTTCTGATAGTAGAGATTCATGAAATTAGCTGATAATTTGTTAGCACAGAGTCTGGAGGCATCGGTTCTCAACTGTGGCTGCACGTTGGAGTTACCCCTGGGGAGTTGAAAAAAAATCCAGAGGCCCAGGCTACACTTGAAGACAATTAAATTGGAATCTCTGGGGATGGGACCCAGCCTTCAGGAGTTTTTAAAGCCCTCCAGGTGATTCCAATGTTCAGCTAGGCCCGAGAATCACTGCTCAAAGCAGTGTATTCGCAGGGAGCTGACAAATTGTGACAATGAAACAGAGAAACGGAGTTCTCTGGAAGAGGAGCATCGTGGGAGGTCAGTCAGCAGCCTTTTTAGAAAGTCAGAATAATTGTATCAAGAAAACGTTAGGGGTGAGGGAGGTAACGGGCAAACTGAGTTTGAAGACTCGTGGATGTAGCTCCAGGGTGCTGGTGCCAAACCAGTGACTTCAGCTACGCAAGCTCCTCTCATTCTCTTCTTGTCCTGCTCACACCGCAAAGCAAGACAGAAGAGCACATGGCAGCAGGAGTGTCTCAAGGTTCTCTGCTCAAACCAGGGAGGGAGACTGGAGGCCTAGCCAAATCCCTTTCAGAGCCGAAGCGCCTGTGTGCCAGTTAAGCTGGGACTCTCACCGCTTAATGCTCTGAAAACAAATCCCCAAGCTTCCAAGCGAAGCAGGGAAGAGCCTCTGTTTGATCTGATGGCAGAGAGCTGTTTCTTGGAGCAGAAGTGCAGCTGCTGCTGAACCCACGCAGGCTTCAGGTGGCTTAGCCCAGCAGTCACTCCTGGGGAGGCTGGTGCCCTTGTGGAAGGAGTTGCTGCTCTGGAGTCAGCATCTTGTATTCACAGCTTTTGGACCTTCAACACAGAGCTCACTGGCTTTTTCAAAGCTCACTGAGAGCCGGGGCAAATAGGCCAAGGCAGTGGCTACTTCTTAGGACCTTTACAAGTTGCCCTTTCTCCTGCTTCAGTAGGTCAGAGTCAGAAACACTGGCTTTATGTTTCTTGAGGATGAAAGTAATGGCTGTGCTCTGGTCTTTCCCCTTGATGAGCTGTCCCCTCCCAGGGCTCTGAAGGTTGCAGTGCCCATGGTCTCTGTCCTCAGGATTAGCCACACGGGCATCAGCACCATGGCTTCCCATCCTCCTCAGGGCTCCTTGAGAGATGTCACCAGCTCTAATCACTCCCCTGAACTTGAGGCTCTATGGCCAACTGCCTACCTGACATCACCACTTGGCTGTCCAATAACCATCGGAAACATAACATATCTAAAACCAAATCTATGATTTTCCATTATAAACCTACCTTCCCAGAACTTTCCAAATCTCAGCAAATAGGTTCATCAAAATCCTTGATGTCATTCTTATTTCTTCTCATTGTCTCAGGCCTCACATCCAATCCGCTGGCAGATCCTGTCAATTCCAACTGCAAAAGACACTCCGTTCAGCCTGTTGCTTTCCCAGTCTGTGCCTCTATACCTCTCACCTGGACAACGTCAACAACCTCCCAGCTCTTTGCTTTCCCTTTTGCCTATACTGCCTCCTCCAGCTCAGAGTCTATTTTCCACCTGGCAATCACATTGCTCCTTTTTAAAAGTAACAAAATCATATCATTTCCTGCTCACAACCTTCTTCTGATCTCCCATCACTCTTGGAACAAACTCAAAATTCTTGGCAAGTGCACAAGGCCCTACATAATCTGGGCTCTGGTTACCTTTCTGAGGTCACTTACTCATACCCTCCACCTTGCTCACTCACACAAGCCTCCATACTAGTCCTCGGACACACTGAGACTAGTCCCTTCTCAGGGCATTTGACTTGCTGCTTCCTCTCGCTGGAATGCTTTTCCAGCCAGCCAACCAGATGGCTCCCTCCTTCTGCTGAAAGATCACCGTCTCTAAGAGACCACTGCTGACCCTCCTCCGTCATTCACCTTCCCGTAACTGTGTGTATTAGTTTTCTATTGCAGCTGCAACAAATTACCATTAACACAGTGGCTTAAAACAACACAAATGTTTTATCTGACATTGCCGGGGGTCAGAAATCCACATTTGGTTTCACTGGACTAAAATCAAGGCATCAACAGGCTTGAGTTCCTCCTGAAGGCTCCAGGGAAGAATTCGTTTCCTTGTCTTTTCCAGCTTCTAGAGGTGGCCTGGATTTCTTGGTTCATGGCCCCTTCTTCCATCTTCAAAGCCAGCAGCCAAGCATCTTCTCTCTGCTTCCATCCTTCCATCTTCTGTTTCTGACTCTGACCTTCTTCCCTCCCTATTAGAAGGATCCTTGTGGTTACATTGGACCCATCTGGATAATCATTAACTGCATCTTCAAAGTCCCTTTTGCTGTGGAAGGTAACACATTCACAGGTTGTGGGGACTAGGACATAGATATTTTCAGGCCACCATTCATCTACTATCTCCTGCTTTATTTTCCTTTACATCCCTTATTACCTCTTGCTGTATGTTTACTTATTTGTTTATTGTCTAGATTTCCCATTGAATGAGTTAATGCACTTAGTAACAGTGCTGGAGTACAAGAAACAATAAATATTAAGTGTTATTATTGTTGCTAGAATAAAAGTTCCTTGATGTCAGAGAATTTATCTTGTTCTTCATTAAATTCTCAAGTACTGGCACAGGGCTTAGCATGTAGTATGTGCTCAAGAAATATCTGAAAGAATGAATTCCTTTAACACTTATTTGTAATAATAGTGTTAAAGTACCTCAATAGTTTTCTCCCTAGTTCTTAAGGATCAGTTGTCCCATTAGTGGTGCATATATATGATCCACTAATGCATGAACATTGCTCTCTGAAAATTTTCAGGCAGCTTCCTGAACATCGCTTTCCCTGCTTTGGATGAAACTTGGGGATTAGTTTTCAGAGCACTAAACATTAAGAGTCCTAATATAACAGGCACATGGCTGCTGTATGTTTGGAAGATATTTGGCTAGATCTGGAAATACAATCTCCACCCCTGTTTTTTGTTTTTTTGTTTTTTTTTTTTAGAAATTCTGAGCAAAAGACTTTGAAAACTTCTCTGCTATTAACATTGTTTTCAGGATATCATTAAATATCTGGGCAAATCCAGGAGATTTAGACCTAATGCGACAGCCTCCTGAAGTCAGGGACACCTTAGTTCCACAGATGGAGGCCGGTGAAGTTACAGCCCGCTGAGACATCGAGATCTACTGCATTAAGGGCAGGGGCAAAGAATTCTGATGCCTGAGCTTTGGCCAGTGGATAATCTTAGATCACTCCCTTTAATCTCGCACAGTCTCTGTTGGCTTCAAAGTTTGGAGTTTGTGTAAGCAATAATTGAGTACCTGTGTTATCAAATTACCATCAACATCGTCTTTTGCAAACTCCAGTTTACTTTAGAGAACAGTTTTTATTAAGGACTGCTCCATGCAGGTAGAATAAAATACAAACTCCCACCATGGCATAGGAGACTCCTTATGATCTGACTCCTGCCCACCCACTCAAACCCCATCTCCTATCATTTTTCTTCCATTCTTTCTATACTTGTGTCCAACTACACTGGCCTTCTTTCCATTATTCAATTAAACCAAATTTAGTCCTCATGCAGGGCCTCTGCTGTTGTTATTTATTCTGTGTGGAACAATCTTTATTATGGCATGGCTTTGCATGGTGCCCAGGTCAACTTCATGTCACCTTCTCAGAGGCTCTTCCCTGGCCAGTTAAAAGTTTACCCCTACTCAACGTTATTTTCCTCATTGTACTTCCCACTATCTGAGTGTATGTCATTGGTTTTTTTGTTCACTTCTTTTCTGTCTGTCTCCCCTTTCCCATCAGATGGGTACCTCAATGACAGCAGTGACCTGGTATGCTTGCTTATGGCTCTATCTCATGCCTAAAGAGTGCCTTGAGAAGAATAAATGCTCAATAAATGTTCATTGAATCCGTAAAGGAATAAATTGAGTTCCTGCATTAATTGTTGGTATCACTGAACATATTGTATCTCAT